CGGTCCTCCTCCCTTATCTTCTCCCAGCACCGCTTTGCATGCTCCACAACCAGCACGTGGTCCTTCACATCTGCATTGAAAATGGAGACACGTGCCACTACCACCAGGAACTGCCACTGCTCCACCATGCCTGCATGCATCCACCCCAAGGGCAGCCAATGGCCTGTCTGCAGTTTCGCTGCCATGGTCACCTTGCCATCAACTGTTGCCGGCTGCAGACATCCTGGGACCCAATTCACACGATATCTATACTTCTGAGGGGCCACATGCTGCTGCAACTGCCCCTCAGGGATGACATGGACCGCAATGTCTATGGCAGCCAGAACGTCAGGGTTCAGGTTGAATGGGTTCCATACCAGCGTGGTTATTCCATCAGCATTAGCGTTCTCCCCTCTGGCATGCGTGTATGTGTACCCATGGTCACCCACGAACACTTTCCCCTCTGCCACCTCGAGCTCCACAGGGTTCCGAAGAGGCGGCGAAAAACAACGAGCAGCAGGGGTGGAACAAACCATCGCCATCTTCTCCTCTTCAGTCACCTCCCTCTTCAGGTGCCTAGATGAGAAGCTGCCGTTGATATAACACGTGGTCCATACATTCCCGATGGCATCACGCATCGGCACCTTCACACGGCCACAAAGAAGCGGGGCGTCATGTGGCACCCAACCCCACCGTGGATCCCTCCTGGCATCATTCTGTGGGCAAACCGAACTCGCTGCATTGTCCAACCCGCCAATCACCCATGACTCTCCGCAGTCGACACCGTCGTACTCAAAATCATTGAGCCTCAACTCGCCCTTCGCGTCCAGAACATGCCACAGTTTCAACATGTGCCGCGATTTGTCGTCAGCGCTCACCTCATCGTTCAACCTCAGCACTCTGTCGAAGATGATTGACAGAGTCACGCCCCTCCACGACGTCGCTTTGGGGGCGGGATATGGAACCCATTCCCCATTGACTTTGAACGTGAAGCACGGCGCTCCTCCAACGATACCCGGTTGAAGACGACCAGGCACCCAATTGATGTCATAGGGGAAGAGAGTTCCTGCTGACGTCCTGACCACATTCTCGTCTGCAACAACACACCCTGCATCATTCTCACTGGCCTCACCATCCGTCATCATGTTTGCAGTCTGCTCACAAATTGCCGCAAGGACCACTGCACAGTCTGTGGTGTTTGCTCCGGCGGATATCCCTTCGTTGCTGACAACTGCGATACCCTTCACAATGTCCTGGGTCTCCATCGCGCATGTCTCCACGCCATTGACATTCGATTGAATCGCAGGCTCCATTTATTGCATAACACATCACATACATTTATGAGAAGCCCTAGCAGCGACGTGGCCCCCTCACTAGAGAGAGAGAGAGAGAGAGAGAGAGAGAGAGAGAGAGAGAGAGAGACTGGGACAAAGAGAGTGAGTGAGAGAGAGAGAGAGAGAGAGGTTGACTACTGCGGGCCAGAACGAGAACAACCAGCAGCGGTGTGCACTTACATGGCCCGCAGTAGTCAACCTCTCTCTCTCTCAGGCATACATACACTGCGTTAGAGGGCGGTTGGCTACTGCGGGCCGTTGGGACAACAACCAGCATCGGTACACACTGACATGGCACGCAGTAGTCAACC